CAGTAACTGAAGGTGCTCTAAGTTAATTTAAAGTTTGTCATTTCACTGTTTTTACTCAATAAAGTGAAGTTTAAGCTTTATTTAGTATTTAAATGCAGTGTAAAGTTTAATTGTGTATTCAGAATTATTATTGTTTTAGTGACTCAATGAAAATAAGTTCAGAGCACTCATAACTATTGTTTTTATAAAAACTTAAATTGTTTTAGGTAATAAGTTACCTCAAATGAAATGAGTCAGCTGAACATGTTGGGTTTTACAGTGTACTGCGAAGATGGCGAGTCAGCATAGTCAACTTTATCCTTGCAGCTATATCTGACAGAAAACACTAATTAAAAAATAAACAATTCAAATGTTTCATGCATAGGCCTAATCATTACTTTTGTCGGTTTTTTGTGGCAAGCTTTATGCGTGAGATCCGGAATAGGCAATAAAAAAAATGCTCATTATGGTTTCTCTCCCATATTTAAATAATTAAATCAATATAAATATGTGATTAAACTTAAATGAACTACTACTAGTCGACTAGAAAACTCACTCATTTTGAGGAATAAATGAACATAAACAAACCTCTGTTCAGAGCGCCACCCTGTTGGATTGCGTATACGTTCACCGAATTCTGATTAGTCGAGAGGATTTATCGCGTTTAGGCTAAAAATAGGTTTGGTGCTTATCGCGTTTTGGAAAGAAACTGCATCTTGTAGTACATTTTAAACAAGGAAATATAGCGATTTGGCATGAAATGTTGATGGAGCAGTGAATAGGTTCAGTGCACAGCAAAATGACATGACAAACTCATTTTTTTTAAAAATGGCGTTTATCGCGTTTTGGAAAAGACCTCTTCATATAATGTATACTTATTTTTTTTATGACACACATACTGTCAGGATTATGTTTTGGTCATTGTGTTGTTCTGTTTCCCTGCCGTGTGTTCCCTGACCTAGGCCTTGTCCACACGGACACGGGTATTTTTATAACTGGAGTTTTTCCTCCTGCGTTAAAAAAAAAAATCCCGCCCATATGAAAACGCAAAAACACGCTATCAAGCGTTGTCAAGAGCATGCCACACCAGGCGGCGATATAACCCTAACCGTAAAGCCACGGTGGCCAATCAGAAGCCTAACAAAAAGTTATTACAGGTTCCGGTAGGCGGATAACGGCGCAGCGCGGGCGCACACTCTGATGTCGCAAGGCAAAAACCCCGGTTTTACTGTCTACACAACAACACTGTAACCGGCCTTTCTGAAAATCCTCACCCTGGCAGGGGTTTTCAAAAATGTTTGGTTTCAGTGTCCTGATACTGCGTTTCCGTGTGGACGAACGGCCGAACGGCGTAAAAAAAGTCACGGTTAAAAAAATACCCGTGTCCGTGTGGACAAGGCCGGCCCTATAGTTTCCCAGTGTGTACCAGCTTGTTTCCTTAATTACTGATTTGGTTCACCAGTTATTCTATTAGTTAACTCATTAGGTCTCCCTGTTATTAAACCCCTGGCTGCAACAGTCTCATCCCAAGGCGTCATCTAACTGACGCTTCTGACCATGCGTCAACATGCCGTCGCACACACCACCCCCCAAACGTCAACATGAGACGCTCATCCTCGGGCGTCATCAAATGCCGCGCACCCTTTAGCGTCAGTTAGATGACGCTTCCGTTATGGGTAGGTTTAGGTCTGGGGTAGGGTTAGGATTAGACCACTAGGAGGCGCGTCTCATATTGACGCTCAAGGGGTACCCTGTGCATCGGCATATTGACGCATGGCCAAACATGGTCAAAAGCGTCAGTTAGATGACGCCTTGGGTGTGAGACTGGGCTGCTGTGTCTCCTCAGTTACTTTGTCCAGTATTGTTTGCATGAATGCCTAACATGGTTGTTATCCAAGTTTATCTTCAATAATCTGCTCCGGTAAGTTTTCTTTTGTGGATTATAATAAAGACTGTTTTAGTTTCTATCTCCATCATCGTGCACTTCTCTACAGCCACCAACCATTACACGTAGGTCATATTTCCCTTTTCCACAAAGATGTCCTGCTTAATTATAAAACACTCCAGCAGTGGGTGGAGCTGATTCACTGATGTTGACAGTGTGAGATGCTGACAGGGTCAATTACTATTTTGGCATCATTCATTGTCTCTGAGGACAACATGTTTCATATTACTTGGATAATAATCCAACTTTGCATTGGTCAGAAATCATTTCAGCTTTATGTCAGTCAAAATAATAATAAAAGGTGTCCGTGACACTGTAATCTGATAATCACTTTATAGCTTGATTAATTGACACCCTTTGCTTTTTCACAGAAACAGTATATGGCTGATAATGTTACAACCATTTATTTTACAAAAACAAGTTGTTGGGGGTGAAAATGTGACTCTCTCCTGTAACTACAGTACAACTGGTGTTACTGTTAACTCTCTCCAGTGGTATCGCTAGTATCTCAGAGAAAAAACAGATATTTTACTTCTTGTCACTGAATATTCAACCAAATCTTCATCTGTATTTACAAAAGAGATCAAATGTGTCTATGTGTGGATCTGGAGATCTCTGCTGAAGTGTGAAGGTCTTCTCTATGAAATGAAATGCAAATCTTTAGTTAAAAGATTCGCTGTCTTTGTGACATTATATGAAGCAACAGTGATAAACTGATTTTTAGATGTGCTCTCTTTTCTCCAGGAGAGGAAGGAGGAGCTTAACGTATCTGAGTGTATTTTACTGAACCTGCAGAGACCGTCACAAGATCATTCAAGCTGAGACTGCAGCACACACACAATGATACTCCATTCAGTTATTCTGTTCTCTGCTTTAGTATGTAAGTACCATCACTTCAAGGCTGTCCTTAAATTAATTATCACAATACAATATGTCTAGTTAATGGTCTTATTTGTGGCCTTAATATATAAAAGTACACTATAAGTGAATGAACTTCTGAAATGCTCACATTTTACCAGCACAGTCATATTTGCACCCTCTGAGACTATTTCACTTTTCTTTGCAGGTTCCAGTAATGGAGATACTATTACACCAGACAAAACACAGGAGTTTGCAGCCGAAGGTTCAAGTGTTCAATTATCCTGCAGCTATTCTTCTGCATGGTCTTTACTTTGGTACCGTCAGTATCCCGGATCAGCACCTGAATTCCTTGTGCTCATCTCAGATGGTGTAAAAGATGTGAAGACATCTGATGTAGATCAAAGATTCACAACTAAGATCAGAAAAGAAAAACAAAACCGTGTGGATCTGGAGATCTCCTCTGCTGCAGTATCTGACTCTGCTGTGTATTACTGTGCTCTGGAGCCCACAGTGACAGCAAACACTAGAACACTGTACAAAAACCTAGTACAAAAAAGGAAACAGCGGTGTTCCACAGTTCAGGAGAAATAGGACCCTTAAATCTTGAATTAGACGCTGGCATATAGAAGCATCTTCTTGCCCATTCAAAGCAGCCACATTAACAAATGCATGAATATTGTAGGTAGAAAAGTGTTTTAGTTTAGTTTTAAACTTTATGGCAGAAATCACCCATTTGCATGTACACAGTCAAGGCACATCTTCTTCAGATAATTTACAATAATTTTCTGCAAAGAAAAAAGAAAACCAGGTGCATGATGCCTGTAGGAGCCATGTAATGGGAAAGTCATGTGACCAAACGATAATGGGAGTGTCATTAATTAAGTGGGGTTAAAACACCTGTTGTGTGTGTGTGTTCATATGGAAGAATGGGGGTGAGTGCTGGAGCACATATTTTGTTGACCGTGCAAACGTGAAACCTGTACAAAATAAAACAACATGCAAGCTTCAAGGATAAATGCGTCACAGAAGTTATTCCTCCATGCACTCAGCTCCTTAGCGGTTTTAGGATTGTTTTTATGTGCCGCTACAATGCCAATGGGTTTATACAGTGAGTAAATGGCTTTACAATATACACACCGAGAGATGAGTAGAGGGGATCAAGCATGTGTTCATAAACATTTTAGTCTAGTAGTCCTACTTTTGTGAAAAATTGTTTAGTCCCCCAAAAAAACAAAAACATTTTAAGTAATTTTAAACTTTATCCTCAAGAGGTCAGCATTGCTCTCTTCGTGTATGAGTAGATCATGTGACATGATACATAAAGTATCTCAGTGAGACACGGACAGAGACAGAGTTTTTTAAAAGCACTGTTGAGTGCATTTCTGTTCTTTTACCTCAGAGAACAACCATGCTTAGATGGGTTTTGATTTCCCTGTGTTTTATAGCACATTATGATGGTAAGCAAATAAATAAAAATACTTTAATTTAGGTTATTAAATGTTTTACTTTGCAAATAATTCATGGTAATGACTTACTTTTTTCTTTTTCCAGTGTCCTCGGGACAGGACAGGGTTGAACAGTCTTATAGAGAAATGCCTGCAAGTGAAGGATATCAAGTAATCTTAAAGTGCAATTATACTACAACTTCTCAAAGTCCATATCTCTTCTGGTACAAACAACTACCAAACAAATCACCAACATTCATTCTTAATAAATATACATTTGGTGAAGGAACTACTGAGCCTGATTTTAAGAAGAGATTTTCTGCAACATTGAACTCCACATCAAGATCAATTCCTCTGACAATCCAGGATGTGTGTGTGTCTGACTCTGCTGTGTATTACTGTGCTCTGAGGCCCACTGTGACTCAAACACACTCAACACTCATACAAATACAGAGGAAGTGCTCAATTATGACAAAGTGCAATTCCACATGCTGTTGACTTCTATCCCACTGCAATAATATCCCCACTGTGAAAAAAAAAAAAATATATATATATATATATATATATATAAGAATTTTAAATGATTTTGTGCTGTGCAGTGCATTTCATCCGCTCATCTACATTTTAGTTTTACGAAAGGTCTATATGTGCTAAAAACTATCTTGCAGATATCAAATGTCACAATTATTATACTAAATGTAATGTTTGTTTTTAAACTGTGTGTATATGTGAGGGGTTTTTTTTGGCATCAAACTGACAGAGGATGAAAGGGGAGGAGTTTAACATCTCAGATGATCTTGTTACATTTGCTAGACTGTCACAAAGCTCAGTCCTGCTGCAGTGAACACACACACATGTACAATGATACTTCATTCAGTCATTTTGCTCTCTGCCTTGGCATGTAAGTGTATTTGTGCATGTTCTTAGTGCAGGATTTCTAATTATAAAATATACATATATCTTTCGTGAAATAATTTTTCATCTTAAATGCTAAATGAGTTTTTTTAATTGAAAATGTACTAAATGTATTTTTTCACAATGACAAAGAAAGTAACATTAAAATTGTATATAATTGTTAACTATTAATTTATTCAAATCCTTGTAATCAATCAATTTCAAAACTAAAACTATTTGAAAATTAAAATGTTCTTTTGTTCTTTTCCAGGTGTGAGTTTTGGAGATGAAATCACACCAGACCGCAGTGAAGAGTTTGCTGCAGTGTCTTCAACGGTTACATTATCCTGCAGTTATTCCTCTGCAAATTCACTTCTATGGTACCGTCAGAATCCTGGATCAGCTCCTCAATTTCTTGTGCTCATAATAGAGGGTGTGAAAGAGACTAAGACATCTGAGGTAGATCCCAGGTTCTCTACTAAGACTAGAAAAGAAAAAGAGATCAAACGTGTGGATCTGGAGTTCTCCTCTGCTGAAGTGTCAGACTCTGCTGTGTATTACTGTGCTCTGAGGCCCACAGTGACAGGAAACACTAGAACACTGTACAAAAACCTGACACAACTAAAGGTGCACAACTAATTCCTTTCCATAAATCTAAATTCACTATATATTATGTTTTCATACTATATAACTATATGAGGGTAAAAACTATCAGCAGTGGTATGATAGATTATGATTTTTGTTACACACTGTACTCTTAGGATATTCTCCAAACCACTGACTTGTTGGTTTAAATACAATTTAACTTGCTTTTTTTGTGTCTAAGCTGTGGTGACTGAACAGGGCCATAAAATGAATACCTGATTTATAGATCTACAGTATAACAACCAAAGCTTGAGGAATCCAGATCACATTCTGTTTGTGTTCCGAGCATTTATGTTGTACAAGTTAGTAAGTAACCACAAGAGGAAGCTATGCACTATAGCATATGAATAGTGATGACACTGTGTGGACTATGATTCTGATCTGCTTTCATTCAGCTCTCTGGAAGAGGGAGGGTTTAAAGCATTGACGTCTGATGTGATCTTGTTAAGCGTTTAGAGAGTCTGTTCGACAGAGCATAAGGAACAAACACAATGATAATCCATTCTGTCATTCTGCTTTCTGCATTTGCATGTAAGTATTAAAGTATTGTATTACATCTAAGTATTCTGAGCAGCCAGAATTGCTCATTTCTGCTCAAAATTAAGTATAAAGTCTATTTCTTTATATTGTGCAGAATATTGTATTTTATGCTGGAACATCTAAAATGACTGATTCAATTTAAAACACCAGTTCATTAAAGATTTCATCTATTTTTGCAGATGCAACGTATGGAAATGAAATTAAACCAACCGAAACAGAGGAGTTTGCTGTCGAGGGTTCAAGTGTTACATTATCCTGCAGTTATTCCTCTGCATATACTCTTCACTGGTACCGTCAGTATCCCGGATCAGCTCCTGAAATCCTTGTGCTCATCTCAGACGGTGCAAAGGAAGCTCAGAAGTCTTATGTAGATTCCAGATTCACTACTGAGATCAGAAAAGAAAAACAAAGCCATGTGGATCTGGAGATCTCCTCTGCTGAAGTGTCAGACTCTGCTGTGTATTGCTGTGCTCTGAGGCCCACAGTCACAGGAAACACTAGAACACTGTACAAAAACCTGCTTCTGCTCTGGATGAAGAATCAATGGTCTTCAACAGTTCGGGAGAAGTGGGACCCTTGAATCTTGAATTATTCCCAGATCCCATTCAGTATACCAAGAAGCGGCATGCAATCTTAAACTTTATTTTTTTTCATGCAAATGCATTAATATTATAAGTGAAAAAGTGTTTGTCTAAAACATGGCAGACCTATTCACGTGTACAAAAGTTGTCAATACACAAAAGTCACACCTTCTTCAGAAATAATCCCCAAGCCTCATAAAATAACCCCCAAAAAACATTGATTTTCAAGCTGAATGTAAAATGTTTGACAAGCCAAAACGTCTGATTCGGACTTTCCTGCTAATTTTCTGTTCTTGAATGTTCTTTTTTTTCATAATTTTTGCAATAGATACACTGTTAAATGAGTGATCTTGAGATGAGTCCCTGTAGTCGTCCAATTTGTTTTTCATATGTTGATTGATGTAATATTATAAACTTGACAGTGATTTTTACGGCCCTAGCACTGATGGTGTGAGGACCCTCCTGGAATTGCTCCGTTTATTATAAATTGTTTGATCACTATCTTCTCAGTTGTTTAAAAGATTAAGGAAGTTATAAAAGTTGAATAAAAGCTGTTTTAATTTGCATTTTGATACATTTTTACATGATTTGTTACATTTACTTGCCCCTTAGCAGATTTTGATTAAAAAAAAAAATTCAGATTATTGAAAAACTTCCCTTCATTGAAAAACCAGGGTATATCCAGTACAAAAGCCTTATAACATACAGAGAGATACGTATATATTTTATACCAATTCTACCGTTATAAAGAATTGTTCAGGGTTTACAAAATAATATCAGGTTTAACAATTTCAAACTTTATCCACAAGGGGTCAACATTGCTCTCTTCCTGCATGATTATATCATCTGACACTGGATGAAAGCATTTAAAGCAGAGCTGTGAGAAGCACAGAAAGCACAGTTCTTTCTGCTCTTTTACAGCACAGAACAATGTTTAAATGGGCTTTGATTTCCCTGTGTCTCACAGCACATTATGATGGTAAGCTCTTTTTCATGTTTTGGTACATTTTAACAGAACAATATTTACTTATGTTTAGGTTACTAAATTATTTATGTTTACTGATACTTCATGTAAATGATTTAGCCTATTGTTAGTTTATTTCACTGTGTGCTGGCCCAGACCTCTTTCCATACATGGAAACAAACATGCACTTAATGGAAAGCGGATGTTAACATACAGAGAGAAAATACATCAGGCTGTGAGTTTAATTGTATGACCAATTCCAGGCTCATTACCCTTTTCTATCTATTCTTTCAGTGTCTTCGGGACAGGACAAAGTTGAACAGTCTTCAAGAGAAATGTCTGCAAGTGAAGGAGATCAAGTTATTTTAAGGTGTAATTATACTACAACTGATACAAATCCGTATCTCTTCTGGTACAAACAGCTACCAAACAGATCACCAACATTCATTCTAAATATATATACATTTGGAAAAGGAACTACTGAGGATGAATTTAAGGAGAGATTTTCTGCAACATTGAACTCCACATCAAGATCAGTTCCTCTGACAATCCAGGATGTGTGTGTGTCAGACTCTGCTGTGTATTACTGTGCTCTGAGGCCCACTGTGACTCAAACACACTCAACACTCATACAAAAAAGTGCCCTACAAGGAAGTATATATTGTGGCAATGAATTAAGAAATTGTTCTCTTGTTTTAGTATTTAGGCCTACCAATTAATCCCCTCTTTTTAAGTGAATCAAGTACACGATATAATAGTTCTCTCGATTTAGTAAATTGTGGTCACGTTGTACTAATGCTTTCCCGCGTTTTGATTTAACTATAACAATAAACCACGATTTAGTGAAACGAGAGAACAAATTTTATCATGCGCACAATTTAGTAAAACGAGGTATACAAATTAGTAAAATACGCTGACATGTTATTAAGTCGTGAGAACAAATTATTATTTGTGGCCATGATATACATATTTTTCCTGCATGGCATGTGCAAGGCTCCTTAGCCTACAGCAACTGAACAAAGAAAAAAAAATTACATTAGGCCTTGAGGAAACATCATTCCAAGTCAAAAACAGTAAATATTTAACTATTTCAAACGCTGCCTCTTAAATAAAATTTATTTTCAGTGTAAATCAGTAAATGTGACCACAAGGTGGCAGCATCTCTCATATTCATATTAAAGGCTTTGCTACATAAGAGCTGCAAATTTCAAGACTTGAAAGGATACAGACATTCATGAGAAAGACATGCACAGTTAAACTCTTTTTTATATAAGGCACAATGACAAACTGGCTGATAATAGCTCTATTCTTCACTTTACACTGCATATTTGGTAAGAGCATTCCATAATTATATGTACACATTAATGTATAAGTTACTCATTATTAAAAAAAAAAATGTTAAATGTGTTTTCCAGAGTGCTGGGGACAGGACACAGTTGAGCAGTCTACAAGAGACATTACTTCAAATGAACAAGATCAAGTTACTTTAATATGCAATTACACATCCACCGTCACAAATGTAAATCTCTTCTGGTACAAAAAGTTGCCAAACAGATCCCCAAAGTTCATTTTGAGCAAATGAATCTATGGAAAAGGATTCACTGAACCTATTTTTGAGACAAGATTTTCCGCAACATTGGACTCCACATCAAGAACCGTTCCACTGCTGATTCAGGATGTGTGTGTGTCTGACTGCTGTGTATTACTGCGCTCTAAAGCCCGTGATCACATGTGCCTCACTTTCACTCAAAAACAGGCACCTCTACTACAGACCAGATCCTGCCACATTTTATATACAGCACAATAAATATATTGTCAGAGAAGATCTCACTGCTGATGTGCAGACCAAAAAGATCATAAATTAAAAGCACAGTTACATAAATTACACATAGGCTAATAAATATGTTACACTTTACTGGCACAATCACTAAAGATTCAAATGTTCTGCAAAAATGCACAAAAGAAATAATATTTACATTTATATTTTTAGCTGGACACAATCACAATGATTTTAGGGAATATGATCAAAGTAATAGTTTTCACTATTATGATATTACTAATAATAAAAAATGAATAAATAATGGTAGAGTTGTCAATTTGGGGTGAATGGTTTCTTGAATCGGAAGTGTCTTATAAAAACAATGAATTCGTTCACTTAACGCATTGTTAACTTTTCATGGGCTGCACAAATCTGATGAAACACATCATCAAAGTAGATAGACATGCAAATGCAGGGCAGCATTTCTCAGAGAGCAGGAAGTTCTTTAGTGCCAAAGACTGAATAGCAGAGAGTCACTGTAGGAAACTGTCCTGCAGAACACAGCTGAGAGCTCCAACAAACCCATATCATGGAAAAACACCTGAGTTTGATTTTAATTATGTCCTGTAGGAACCAAACTTTTCCACTACATTAGCAATATAGATAATTCAAATTGAATGTCTATCAATTATATATTGAATGTCTATCAATTATATCGATCATATGCATGATCTCACGTAACATTTCTTTCTGTTCATGTTTGCAGGTGTGATAGCCGAGGACCTGATTTTGGCCAAATATGGGTTCAAATCTCATCATGAGAGAAGGAGAGTCTGTGACACTGAGCTACTCATATGATACAAGCAGCAGTTATGTTAGACTTTACTGGTACAGACAGTATCCTAATAGAGAGCTTCAGTATTTAATGAACCAGGCCGGTATATCCCAATCATCCAGTGAACTCATTAGTAATGATCTGGCTCTGTCAGATGCAGCTCTCTATTTCTGTGCTCTAAGAGTAGAAGCCCAGTGATACAACGTCTACGTGAAGCTGTACACAAACTCAAATTCATTTTTTACTTAGAACATAACCGCTACCCATAATATTTCATGCAACACCTGCGTATGGTAATGTAAGAGATTATTACTG